TCTGTCAGCACAACGACAGCACGTCCCGGTGCAGGGACATCTTGAAGCCTGATCAGCCTTTACAAACTGCGGAAAAAGAGCAGGGCCAGCGTGAAAGCAGCAGTGACATATGCGGCTGTAGATCCTTTTAATGTATTTACTACTGTAAATGCACAGAAGAGTCTGTTATTGGTCAAAGCTGTGTCCAAGGGTGAAATATCATTTAACAAAGGGAAATGAGAAGTTGGTCATTTCACAAAATATCATATGCAGAGAAAATTTTGCAGTTTAATGCCAAATTTGCCACCAAGCTTAATGATTCAACTCAATTTTCCCAGGAATGCTATTTATAAAGTACAAAACTGTAAAGGTTTTTTATCTCAGCAGCCTCATTAAAAATACCATTTTATACTGACAACTTTCAGTAATCATTGCAAATTCACAGAACATGTTTTTAATAGAAACTTTCCTTTATCAAACAGCCTTCATATCATCTGTCAGAGAATGACTAGGACCCCTTTGTAACGCAGACGTGCCTAATCTTAAAACAAACCCACAGCTCAGCAATGCAAGACAACACACTTTCTGTTTCTGGGGAGAAAAATTATTTTAAACCAGCTTCCTTGTTCTTCCCTGGAATCAGCTGCTATTCTTTAAAATAGGCACGCTGTACTGAAAATGCTACTGGTACTTAAAGATAAAATGTTACATTTTTGCGTTGTAACTATAAACAGAGCTCACTTTGTAGCTTTAACAAATTCTAAAGCCAACTCTGCTCAGGATCAGGCTGGGACTGTGTTATATACACGCACTAACACAGTATTGCTAGTTTTTGTTTTGGAGTGCTACTGCCGATACTTGAAGTATTTGTTCACAGAGAACTAATAAGTCAAATCAGGAAATACTAGAGCAAAAAATTTGGAGGGGACAAACAACCCGTTGATGGCTGCCTCTATACTGTGAAACGAAAGACAAGAATAAGTAAGTACTGCTGCTTTCTGCTTATATCAGGAATGTGAGATGGTTTTAGGCAAGGACCACCCAGCTTTACTGCAGTTGCATATACAGTCAGTAAATCAGCTGCTACTGTGGTATTTTTGAGAAGGAAAAAATGATGGAGAAGGTGTGTGTAGAAAGCAGGATATATACAGCATGTTGCTTTTCAAATAACTTTTGCTCCATCAGTAATTCATGTAATAGGTGTGTTTGTAACGAGGCACTTGTGTTTAGCATTTCAGAGATGCTCAGTGGAAGCAGGACTAGTTCCATGACCGATGGGTTAGTGCTTCACCACTACTACCTGTACCGTTACGGTTTAGGAAAAGAAAAAAAAGATCTCATGACAGGAAGAAATGACTTTCCAGAAGCAAGGAAGTATTTTGGCCAGCGGCAAGGCAGCATGTGGGAAGAAGGCAGTTAAAGGTGCTTCCTTGAAAGAAACGAAAGAAACTACAGGTAGGCATCAGACCAGATCTTGCAGTGACGCTGATCCCTGATCAAAGCATTTCTTTCTACGGGTGCAGTTCTTCACACATACCATCCAGACAGGTGCTGTGCCTAAGGAAACATGCAGAGTGTGTCACCAGGCAGAAGCTCAGCACTCACAAAGAGCAGAAAAGTGCTTCTATATACCTACATTTCCCTGAAAATTTTTGCTTTTAATAAAAACTGAAGAACAAAAGGGCTCTGAGGCTGAGACCATCTACTGTCAAGGTTCTGTTTTACAGTCAAACACTTTGCAGTGCCCGCTGAAGGAGAAGGCTTCTCAGGTCAATCATCACCAGTGTGCGACATTCCACTGCTGAGCAGTGACCAAAGGCCCTGGTAGAGGTAGGGAAGAACATGGAGGGACCGCAAAGAGCAAAGTTCTGCTGCTTTGGCTGTGAAGGTGCATGAGCATGACCGTTCGGCCTGAACTTCGCGGCTGCTGGTGGCAGTTAAGCAAGCTCCTTCCCCGCTGTGGTGAGCGAGGCCGGCGTTTGTGCTGTGACCGGCTCTGGGGCCGCTGAGAGAATCAAGTGCTGCAGCCAACGCTCCCGACCCCCACACCCTCTCCAGTGGCATTAAGGCCTGCAGCCCTCTTGACTTCCTCCAGGGGAGCAGACATGGTGCCAGCTGCAGTGAGGGACAGGAAAGGCCTCAAAGCAGTCATGCAGATGTTGTAGCAACATCTTCTAATCACCCTTAATTTTCCCCCTGTTCTGCTGCTCTCTTTCAATTCCTATTTTCTCCTTTCCAGCAGCAGTTCAGTAAGCAGCAAAATGGCTGCCACCTCCTTTCTTTGGTCTGAGTTACTGGAACTTGACTGCTAAACAGGTGAACTCACCCTTCCTCCTCAGTCAATCTAACAGGCCAAGTGCAGATTGTTAATCTAAGTGAATTTCAAGGCACTTCAAAAGCATGAGCAAGTGCAGCTTTTGCAGTTCACAGACAGAGGAAGAGGTCAAGCATGGTGCAAGAGACTTGGCTTTATTTTTTAACAGAGTTCAAGAGTGAAAAAAGTGTCCTGGGTTCCAGGTCTTCTGCTGTAACTGTTCTACTTCTTGGGCTTTTATCTAGCGAGGGATCATAGGTACGGCACCAGGACATGCCAGATAATGAACTGTAATTAAAACCTATTATAAATCTAGTGTGCACTTACCACCTGCTCCATTTGTTGAACTGGAGCCTGCAGAAAGTGTTCTCAAGGATGAGTGAAAAGAATTGCAATCTAGAAAGGCATATGAAAAGCAGGATGCTCCTTTGCAGATATACACAGCAATTCAAAAACCACCAAAAGACTTGGGAGCCCACATCCCATTTACAAAAGTCACTTGAGGTCTCAGTCCCACAGGAGGCCAGGGGGACAACACCTACTGACTGTCAATGGGACTTAGGCTCCTACCCATCTTTGGGGTGTTGGAAAATATTACACCCATTGAGTCACTAATAGAGGAAGTCTTCTCCTGGGGAGTTTCAGAAAGTGCATCTTCTTTTAACGAGGTTCCAGCTGAATGTAGACTCCATTTTTTGGTCCAAGCGTAGCTTTTGATTTCAGCTGCAACGGAATCTGAAAGCAAGGAAAAATTAGGCACAGTTGTAGGTAGTAGTTTATGTGTGTTTAATACCTCCACGTACAGACAGACAGTTTTGCTGGGGGACCAATTCATACAAGGGTTACTGTGGAAGCTGTAAAGTGCTTGTTTTACAGTCAGCTATGGTAGTAAAATATTAGATAGAGTTTACAGCCAGAGGCTGAGGCAGTGGTTGCCCAAGTATATTATAGATCTGAACAGAAAGAAATTAACTCCATAAACTCTAAAGCTGCTGAGTAAATGGCAAGGGGAATATATATATCTATAGATACCTGTAGATGATATAGATAAATAGATACAGATAGATAGTAAAAGGCCTATCCTCAAATGCTGAGATCCCAAGAAAGATGCACACCCCCTCTCAGCCTGCACAAATCAGTGTATTTTGATTTTAGCATTCCCATGCTGCTGTCCACCAGGAAGGGATCTATAAGTTTGTTTTATAGGAAAAATCATAAAGGATAAATCACATTTCGATTAAAACATGTAGTCCAGGCTTTCTGTCCCTCCCTATTAAGTGGCTGTAGTATTTTTCCCTCAAGAAGAGAAGTCACAAAGGCAAGTTGGTTGTCTTCTCTAGGACAAACATATCAATGCAGAGAAGTTGACATGAGAAGCCTTTAAGCCTCTGCATGTACAAACCTCAGTGTCTGGGCAGGTCTTAAATCGAAACTTCTGCAGAATCCTCAGCAGAGTCATTTTTGTCTCCAGCAAACCCATCCGCATGCCAATGCAGCCCCGGGGTCCTGCCCCAAAAGGTAGGTATGCAAAGGGATGCCGTTCCTTCTTGGCCTCCTCTGTAAACCTAGATGGCAAAGAGATGGAAAACAGTTTAAGATACACTTTTTCATGCTGATTCAGTGCTTTTTATTTGCTTCTCAGTAGGAGGTGATTTCATTTGGTTTTAAGAGACTGACCATGGGGACTATTGGCAGATTATATAATGATGGACGATGACCATACATGAACTGATAACTGCCTATGGGCATCATTCTTTATCAGATGGTGATTCTTGCAGCAGACAGACACATGTTGTTATTACTTGTAATCTATCTCTAACAAATTGCCTTCATTCATGTCCATGTTCAGAAAAATGGCAACTTGATGAAACAGACAGGGCATGCTATGCATGTACTGGGGTGAGATCATGGCTAGGATGAAACCAACAGATGAGAATGCTGCAAACACACTAGAATTAGCAGCAGTGCTTCCCCACTCTGCATTGCTGCAGCAGATCCCCAGGAGCTGGTTTTAGCCTTCCTAATTTCTCTCTGAAACTTGCTAAGGGAGATAAAATAATCTCATGGGATTGGACTGGCTATGAAAGAAAGTTGTTACAATTCAGCACAGCCCTTCCTTCTACACTTGACCCAAAGAAATCAGCTTCCAAGTTGGGAAAAACTAACACTGCAGATCTGTTCTTAGAGCCAAAGGACTTCAGTCCACCTGGCGAGACAGATTACAGTGGCAGTCTGGATGCAGATGTGCATCAACTGCCTGGGTCTGTAATACTTAATCAACCCATTAGAAATAAGGCATTTGGTTTTGACAAGGCAGGAAATGAAATTCCTATTTGAAGAGCAATGCAAAGGAAAAAAGTAAAACATGTTTTCCAGTGTTTGCAAGAATGGATGCATTCTGTGTACAGTATGTTTGAGCCGGTACAAGTTATTAGGATCAGTGAGAAATCAGGAAGATAAGAGTCTACCTGCAGCTAAAACTACATCACTAATGTGATGGTCACTTAAATGTGTGGTCACTTAAAACAACTCCTTGCAAAAGTGGCATTGCCCTAAAAATCTGCATAGCCCTCCCATGTCTTAAGGTATTTGGAGCTGCTCTTGGAGCACAGAACCATTTTTCATGTTCTCTAATCAGCTAATGACTCTGGCAGCCAGGCAGGGTGGCATCCCTGGAAACCTCTCCTTCACTAGACTTCTAAGTGTAGGGAACTGGTACAGGATTTAAACTGGTGAGAAAGAGTACAGACTATTTTGAGGATTGGAAAGCAAATAACATGGTGTGTTTGTGCTCACCCCATCCCCACACTTAGATACCCTGAAAAAGATTGGGAAAATACTGTACAAAGCACTGTACAAGCCCATAATTCAAGATGCAGAGCCATAAAACATGTATTGAACACTGTTACATATCCTATGTAAATGGATTAACATGATTCCTTCTTTCTTCAATCCCATACATCATTTTGGCAAATTTAAAGCCTGCCTTACATTGTTACTGAGGAAATATCAGTAAAAGAAGGATATAGCTGAGTTAGTTTATTTTGTTTAAGTTCTTATTTTACAATTCTTACTAAGATTGGCAAGTGATACAAGATGGTGAGAGCAGTAATAATTATGCTTCATTTCTCAGGAAAATATCAAAAGGAAAATCATCCCAGGTTTTCTAGACACATCAGTGTATGAGTCAACTATTTTGTAGCCCCCATTTTTCACTCCATACTGCACATTCTCATCCCCATTAAGGTGGTGAACAAACAAAACAACTTTTCTAGACAAACTCTGCTGATAAAAAAGACTTCTAGTTATTGCTAAGGCTCCTCCCCAGCGAAAGCTGGAAGCTCTTCCACTCCCGGCCTCGCTCCTCTCTGTGGTGAAAGTTGCTCAATACAGCATATGTTGAGATTTATCCCAGAAGGAATCCACCAGGCAAACCTGATGGATACAGCAGATGTTTGCTGTCCCGCTAGCACAGGCCGTTTCAGGCTGCCCGCATCGCGCCTGGTCGTTTGTAGAGCGCACGCTTCTTTCTTGCTAGACTTTCCAGCACGGTGGTAGCTTGACATAGAGCTGCCCACAGAACAAAACTGAGCTTCCCCAGAGCATCTCCCCCGCTAAAATCCTGTGGGCTCTCCCCTTCAGCTAACCTCAGCAGCTACGAGATAGCACAGGGCACACACAGTTACACAAACACAGCCTGACAGTGGCCCCACAGCTGAAGATAAGAAATACGCCATTTAGAAGATGATAAGAAATACTCCATGTAAAATATGCCTTGCCAGGCAGAGCCAAGAAGCCAGGACTGTTGCACTCGCAGAGAGCAGGAGATGGCCCAGGCTGCTTCGCCAGTCATGGTGTAGCCCAGCTGCTCCCTGGCCATGTGTGTATGGCTGCTCTGAAACTCAGGGGCTGGAAGAAAATTATGGGGAGTTCCATGCAAGCGAGAACTCCATTTCACTTCAGGACTTCTGGAAGTGACACTATTTGTAGCACTGGATTTGGAAGGAGGCTGAAAGTCTGAGCCACGTTTCAACCATTAACCAGACTTTGCACCTTCTGTAGGGCATGCTGTTGTTACCAGTTGTGTAATTTGGTGGAAAGAATGCATTTTATCATCTAAACTGAGCTGTGCTCCTTCTGGGGGGAGTGCTACTTCAGGTGGAGAGTTGGTAGCTGTGAAGGGACAGCAGTGTTTGGCGTCTCTGATGGCCAGGCAGGACTCCTGGGCCCATACTGGGTTCCTCCTGAGCAGCCAAGCAGAGAAAGAGCATTTAAGGAAGGCCATTGATCTAATCAGGTCTAAATAGGGACTTCAGCCTAAGAAGGAGAAAGCACTAAGCCCACATACCTCTCAGGAATGAACTTCTCAGGTTCTGGCCAGAAGTCAGGGTTATAGTGCAGATGTCCCACTGCAACTTCAATGACAGCCCGAGCTGGGATTCGCTGCCCCAGAACTACACAGTCTTTAGCCGCTTCCCGAGTGAACCTGCAACAGTCAGTGTCACATATCTCAGACGATTAATGAAAGTAAAAAGACAGTGGGAGGGAAGCAACCATAACACTCAATCTCTTCAGCTGGACTGACCCTGCAGTTTAGGGAGTAACACTTTCCCAGTAGATAAATACAGCAACCCTTGCTGATGCTAGTGTCTTCGCCGGTTACCGTCCTATTTCTCTCCATCCAGTGGTGGAGAACTTCCCTTAGGAACCTCACTGTGACCACCCTGCTGGGACAAGAGAATGGATGTGTAAACCTGTGAAAACACTCTGGGTGTATATGTATGTTTGTGTGTGTGTGTGTTTGTGGTGGTCCCCAAAACCACATGGGATGTTGACCGGCTGTCACAGCCCAGGAGCTCTTCCCAGGGGCAAGACACGGGGCAGGAGCTCCCATCCCTTTTCCCATGCTGTGGAATGAATGTTTCAGGGTCGGGGCTGTGGCCCCTGGTATCACTGCAGCAACACGTTCTTTCTCTGCGGCCATCCGCCTTCTCTCTTCCTCACAGCACATTAAAAAGTACATTGGCCAGCCACCTTGCTCATTTTAACCTGAATTAGTGACTGTGGAAACATCGGTGTTGTGAAAGAAAGTCCTCTGGTCAGTAAATTAGCTGAAAATAAAGCTTTCCTGTTTATAACAAGCTTGGTTGCTACTGATTTTTTTTTTTTCCCAGAATGCAACATTATGCTTGCCATAAGCAATTAGGATCTTTTGGATGCACTGGGCTGTTCTGTCTATTCCCTATCTATCAGAGTAAAAGCCAGATCGATAAACACCACAGATAACACCAGTGGAAACTTCAGAACAACTTTGCTCTGTTCTGTTTCCCATCTGACAAACATTGATTGTGTCTCTGCATTTCAGCTGAAATTCAAATATCCCTGATGGTTTAACTGGCAAAACAATTTCCATTTGCATACCAGATATAACATAGTAAAACATTAGGTCATCTATTAGCAGGTGTCTTTAACATTTCCTCTCTGTGCAGTCCTACAGAAATCCATGCTCGACTTCCAATCTTTGTGAACATATAAAAGACGGTATGATTTTAAGCTGTTTTATTTCAAGCTGTTTGCAGTTGGAGGACAAATTTTTCAAAGGCTCTCACAGCAAAATCAACTTTCGTTTCTTTTAAATTATGTGAAATTTTCCCATTAGCATCAGGAAAAGCAGTGGAGCAGGCTCACTGCTCTTTAAAATTCAATTCTTAAAATTTAAATTTATGCTTGTGATAACTCTGAGATGTGACAATCAAGCAGTTTTCTAATTCCTTTCCCCCTTCTTTTCAATTCATCAATAATGTGGCGAACTATTCTTGTGTACGTCGAGGGAAAACTTTCAATACTTAATGGATGTAGCATTGTTTTAGATATATTATTATAACACAGCAGTAATGCAAAACTGCATAGTCTGAGTTAATTGCACATGTCAAAAACCCTCCAGTGTTCTCAGTGTGCAGACTCTCTGAAGATCAGGGCCTTAGTGATTAGCAGGATAGCTCTTCCACCAGCCAACAAGCTCAGGCAGCTCTTTGCTCTATACCCCTAAAGCCTGAGGTGTAACGAAGAAGGAGCATCTGGCTTTCCAAGGCAGTCCAACCTCGAAAAGGCTCGATCCTGTAACCTTGGGGGATTGGAAGAACTCACTGTCTCGGCTGTCTTGGATGCTGTTTTGGATGCTATCTTGTCTGGTTAGATGTTAAAAAAAAAGCTGCTTTAGGAATACCAGTATTAGCCAGTTTTCGTTCACACATTATGATTTCAAATGCACAAGCAGTATTGATGTTGGCACAGAAACCAAGTGCATATTGGTTTCCCCACAGCAGATTTCCATTTTATGTAGCCAGCGATCTGCTCTGAGGAATCAGAAGTGGGGAAAAAAAAGGTACCTGAAAGCAGGTGGATACATGCGCAACGTCTCTGCGACCACCATGTCCAGGTAAGGGAGTTCTTGTACATTTTCATAGTCAGGGATGATCTGAAAAGGCAGGAAGAATGAACTGGTTACATTTTCTCACATTTAAGTAGCAAATTCTTCTCAGATTAGCTTTTAAATCATCTATTTTTACTGGGCTTTTTTTTTTTTTCTGTAGAAGAACTCAATGTCTCATCTAAAACAGTAAAAGATAAAATTATACAAAAATGTGGGCAGTAATTAAATACATGTACAATACTCCTTTCATCATCAAAACACTTTGGTGTGCCGCACAGCTGAAGATATAATAATAAATCAACTTGCTAGAAAGCGTTAAAAATAGGGCATTAAGAAAGTGCATTAACAGCTACAGCAGTGATATATTATCCATACACCGAAATCCGCCCAGAACCCCTTGATCCTTCTGAGGAAAGGACACGGCACAGCCCAAAAGACCAGCTGAGAAGAGCTTGGCTTCTGACAGGCAGCCAAGGGGCAGCAAGGGAGGAAACACCCAGAGGGACAAGTGGTGGTGGGGACCCACGACACGGCCAGCCCCCTTCTCCCACTGCTATCTGCCCTGGAAAATGCACGTTTTTCCCTGCCTTTTTTCAGTGCTCTCAGCAGAGGGCAGCCAAAGTACGTCCAATCGCTTCCCCAGGACAGCGGAGTTTGTTTTAAATTAGAGCATCTCCTAAAGACTGACACGGAGTAAATAGGAGAAGAGCACAGACGTCAGACTAGACTAAACCTTTTATGAAGATCTGGGGCCCCTGCCATGCACAAAGGGGACTGGATTCCATCCTTCCTTTATTTACTACAGCACTTTTCATGTATAATGCATATTTTATTGAATTTTCATGCAAAAACATATGGTACATACTGAAAATACTAAGCAGAGAACAACTCCAGATGGCATGCAGAAAAGGCATACAATAGAACGAGGATACCTTGCTGGATTAGGGTATCCCACTTATTCAGAACTAAGCCACCATGCACCATTTCACATTAACTGATCTTTTCTAGGAAGGAAACAGATACATTCTATTATCCTCATTTTCTTTGGCTCTGGAGAGAAAAGCAAAAACAGAGAAAGTAATTCGCACACGCTGAGCAGAACCAGCGTGCTTGCTCTTCTCTTCGAGGGACAGAGACAACTCAGTTTGTCGATATAGAAATTATTTTGTCAGGAAATGCTGTACGTTATCAACACAGAAGGTATAGAAAACTACACTGGCAACCTTCTAACGTTGTTTTTGTACTGCAGCAGTGCCCACGAGCTCAAGCCTTTGACTTAGGTCAGTGGTTTTCAAACAAAGGACTCCGAAACTGAAAATGCAAATGGCAGCAATGTCAGGAGATCCATGGCTGAAGGCTAGGAGCTCTGCCCCAATAATCCTAACAGTTAACACTGAAGACAGAAGGAAACAACTTTTATCAATCATCATCCTTGTTTTTCAGAAGGGGACCCAAGGTTCAGAGGCTGCCTGCCACAGCCAGTGTCACACAGGGAATCAGTTGCAGAGACTGGAAAAGAACCACAATCAGACTCAAATTTCAGGCCTTCAACACAAAGCTATCTCCTTTGAGACTGCATAGGCTCTGCAGGCTTTAATACAAACTCATGCTGCCATGCATACTGTATTTTTTTCTAATTTTCCATCTCTCACTCTGTGCTTTTAATTCCGATCTCCTGTATTTCTCTGAATCGTGGGTCACCACCTCAGTCCTGTCCCCGCACTCCTTGTCGACTCCCAGGAGGGGCAGCTGAGGAAGAAGTCCAGCTCGGAGCAAATGAGTGGTGAAGCCAAGATTACCCTGGGATATGTCTGATTCCTTGAGCCACGCTCACTCCACTGGGCCTTCCTATCTCTCTTATAATCCCTCTGCTTACTTCTGGAGTCAATAATTAAGATAATTATATGGTAATCTGATATAATAAGTAGCCACTAAATCAGGCCCTACATCAACAAATAATACAACACTACATTATGAGAGCTTTGATTTGCTCCTTCAAATACCTTCTATACCTTCAAGGAATTAGCAGTTTAGAAAACAAAACAAAGGTGCAAAATCAGCTGATTTTCCTGGATGAAAAGTCCTTTTGCTTACAGAAAGAAAAAAGGGGTCAGCTGGATGGCAGCAGAGTGAACTCTGCTGTCGTGGGCATGCAGACACATCAGTCGTTTCCTAAATCTGATGCAACTTAATTATTGGCACTTCCGTGCTTCTAACATCAAAGCAGTTGGACCTAATTTGGTGGTTGTTTGCAAGGTCTGACCCAGGGCTGCGTAAAGTGCATATCAGCCAAGTATCCCTGTTTAGGAAAGACAGTTTGCTACAGCTTTTTTTATTATTATTATTTTCTTTTCAAAGAAAACACTTTCCATTTGTTTTTCCACTCCCTCTCTTCAAAATATTCCATTAGCCAAGCACATTTCAAAGGAGTGCAAATGTGCTTGTCTCCCAAAATATCCCTATTTATATCTTCCAAGTTTTGGCAGGTATGCTGAGATGGGGAGTGTTGTTGTGCAAAGACTGCCACTTTAAGCCCCTGCAAAAAGCATTTGCACATCGGCTTTTGCTAAGGGTTGGGTGTATTTTCATTCAGAAACAGGTTCTTTTCTTTAACAGGTAGATGTGTGGGGAAGACAGGAGGCACCACATTATACATAATAAAACACACAACACCACGAGGGACCACCAGTCCTTCACACAGCCGTTGTTACTCTGACACTTCACGCAGCTGTTTAAGACCTTTTTCTTGTTGATGTGGAAGTGGAAGGCCATGGCCATGCAGCTCTTGTGGCATTTCTCCACGCGCGATATTTGCCAGCTGGCTCCCCGGCGGTGCAACGCTCCCCGCCTGCCCAGGCCATGCAACTGGTTTGCTGGATACACACACAGAGCCAAAGCTGAGGGCCTCTCCTCACCTGCAAGGAGCCCCATTGCCCGCTGTGTGTCCTCAGCGAGGTGCGGGCACGCAGAGCAGCCTGCAGCTCTGCAACGCAGCCAGCAACTGCCTCCACATCCTCCTTGGCTTTCCAGGACTGGCATTAGCTTCCTCTAGGCAGGCAAACCTCCCTCTCTCCTCAGTTAACTTCTAGTTCCTCAATGAACATGAAGGGAACCCAAGTGCCAAGCGGAGAGGTCTGGCGCATCTTTCTGCTGGGGTTTGAGCTGTCACTGCTCCCAGTTGCTGGCTCCTCTTTGCTGGCGGTGGCTGCCGTCTCCGCAGCCAAGTCGGCAGCAGGGAACACACGCCCGCACCTCAGCCGCTTCCACAGGGAGCCCTGCACAAGCCCTTCCTCAGCGGCAGCTCGAGGCAAGAGGCAAACTCTTCTCCACAGCAGCTGTCGAGTGCAGCACAGATCCTCTCCTACCACCTCTGTTTTGGGAACAGTAGCCTGAGCACACATCAGTGAATAAAAAATTTCCACTTATCCCACTGGTCATGGTCTGGTGGTGCTCAGCAGCCAGGAAGGAAAAAATCAGAGCGAATTTTATGTAACCGACAGAGTGTGACGCGCACCTGAAATCGATTTGGAAGCGGCGCGGGCTGCAGAGGCCACGTTCCTCCTCCTGGGACTGCACCGGCTGCGCGCGCCGAGACGGGGCGATCCCAACCAAACACCTCACGGGGCACCTCACAGGACATGAGGTGCGGACAGCACACACATGCAGGAGCACAGACGTAGAGCCCTGTGCAGGCAGAGCTCCGCTGCCCAGGTCAGCACTCCCTGAAACACAGACTTACGAGAGCAACAGGATACAAGGAACTGACACGACACCAAGTCAACGTTGCCACTGGTGACTGTTCTCAAGCCCACCGGTGCCCTAAATTGCCAAAAGAGCTAGCTCTCCACTGAGGCCAACATCCTCAAATGGATCAGCAACGTTTCTTGATCAAATGGATCAAAAGCAGCTGATAGATCCAAGAATTTTCCTGAGCTTTTGACCTTTCTTTGGTCACTGCTAGGAGCCCTCACCAAACTGCAGCCTCTGTGCCATGCTCAGCCTCAGAAGGCAGCATTAAAGCTTTTCACCCAAATCACCGGCCCGCTCCCCATCTTCTCCACCTGCGCATGCTCCTCTCTGAGTTTTCCTTCCTGCCCTCTCCTCTGCTCCGTGGCCTCCCAAGCTGCGGAGCACCGGCGGAGACGGGCAGCGGTTCGGCCAGCCGCGCGCAGCAGCAGTGGGAAAAGCCGTCGCGTTGGGGACACGCTGCTACCCGTGTGCGAGCAGACCCTGCAGCCAAGCCCAGCTGCCTTGGTGCAAACCCACTCAGCTCCCTGGGGCTGCGGCACTGTAAGGGAAAGGAGAACGTGGTGCTAAGTGTGCACCTGATACTGCCGGGGAAAGAGCCAGAAAGTATAAGGTTACACTGATGCTGACTCTAATGTTGCTTTGCTTTCCGAATCAAAGACTTCAGCTCCTGACAGAAGACAGACCTCTGCTACCTCCAGTAGCTTTTGTGGTGCTAAAACAAGGTCTTCGTAACATCAAGGAAACTTCTGCGAGATAAAAATATTTCCTGAAACTGAACATCGCCCCAAAACCAAACAGATAAACATAACTCGGCAACCAAAACAGTCAAAAATTTGCTTCCACCTACATCACTGCTGACACACGGTGATCAGCAAGAACAGAATGACTACCATCAGGTAGAAGATCTGGAAGAAAAAAAGAGGAAACAGGAAAAAAAAGAAAACAGGAAAAGAGGAGAAAATCATTAAGAAAATCCTTCATAAGACAAGCTACAAACCAAGAGAGAAGAGGGGAAATTCTGTGCGTCAGTCTGGCTTTGTAAAACTGTGGGCTTCATCTTACCCCAGACTCCTGTGCCAAAAGAAGGGGTTGCACCTACACTGAACGCAAATAAATAGCTGGGAACAAGCAAAGGTATCTGAAGCTCTGTTTTCATGAGGGAGGGGAAGGCTCTGCTCAGAGTGCCCAGTCAGGAAGCTTTTAATACACAAGCATAGGCAAATGGACATGCAGGTATATAGACTAGTCTTTTTTTTTTTTTTTCCACTTAGATTTGGTAGGGAGGAGTCTCCAGC